TACAAAGAATGGCGCAATACAATAAATCTTGAATATCATTAGATACATTTAGTCGGAAGCGGTGCCGCCCGCCGTGGCGGAGCTTTGGTCGGTTTCGTTGTTGATATCGATCGGTAGAAAACACAATTTGACAATTGGACGCTTATACTGCGATCGCGCGGTGCGGACGGTAACGACTCGAGTTAGCCCATCGTCGCCGGGATGACATTCGGAAATGCGTCCGAGCTCCCAGTGACACGGGGGCGCAACTGGGTTTCGTAAAAGAATGATTCGACCTACGGTCGCGAGGCGTTGCGCGACTCTCCATTTTGGCCGCTGCTGCAACGTCAATAAATAATCGTTTGACCAAGATTTCCAAAATTTTTCGGTAATGTGTTGCAGCAATTGCCAGCGGGAAAGGCGAGTTTCGTTTTGATCGAGAACGCTCGGCTGTGGCGCAGCCAGAATTGGTCCTCCGATTAAGAAGTGTCCTGGCGTTAGCGCATTATAATCATCGAAATTGTCGGAAACGGAGCCAAGAGGACGAGAATTCAAACAGGCCTCGATACGATAAAGAACTGTAGTTAGTTCTTCGAATGTCAGTGTGTATGACCCGATACAGCGTCTTAAACGGTACTTGACGCTGCGTACGGCAGCTTCCCATAGTCCACCGAAGTGTGGAGCGGAAGGTGGTACAAAATGCCATGTTACGCCGTCGGTCGAAAGCGTGTTCTGAAAGTCCGAATTTTCGAGAGCCTTCGCAATTGCTATTCTAAGTTCTCGATCGGCACCTTGGAAAGTAGTTCCATTATCCGAATAAATCGACGAAGGATATCCGCGGCGGGACACGAAGCGATGTAATGTAGCGATAAAAGCGTCTGACGAGTAATCGCTGACGAGCTCGAGGTGGATCACCTTTGTCGTCATACAGACGAACACGGAAATATAGGCCTTGTGTGCCTTATGGCCTCGTCCACGAGAGGTACGCACGAGGATAGGACCGGCATAATCGACACCGGTATGTTCGAACGCTCGATTTGAGCGATTTACTCTTACATTCGGAAGGTCACCCATAAGTTCGGTGGGAATCGGAGCTTTCTCTCGTGTACAAGGTACACATGTGTAGAGTACAGCGCGGACCAGAGAGCGAGCTCGTAAGATCCAAAATTTTTCTCGAAGGCGAGCCAGCGTCAATTGGGATCCAGCGTGTAAAGATCGTCGGTGGGTGTCCATTATGATAATCCTGACCAAGGGATGGTCCTTGAGGACAATCGGATTGCGAACGTCGTCGGTCAAGGTGGCATTCCGAAGCCGGCCACCAACTCGAATCATTTGGTTATCGTCGAGATATGGATTCAATGACAGCAGTGAGGTGGTCTTCTTTATTGGAGCCGCCTTGCCGAGTGACGAGATCTCGCACGGGAAAATGTCGGCTTGAATGTGACCAATCCAAAAGGCTTCCGCGGACTTAATCTCAGTCGGAGTTAAATAGCTCGGAGATTCGAGCACTAGGTTGTCGTATCGTCGTGTTGGTGTCGGTATTCCGAGCGCGGGAATTCGTGACGAATCGATAGATGTAGACTGTTATTCGAAGGAGCTTGCTCCATGATGAATAACGCTGTGATAGATCCCACGGTGCGACAACGGTAGCATTTAGAGACTGGTTTTCGCGTTGTTCGCTGAGCGCGCGGGGGTCGAAATCCGAAGGAGAGCTAGGCCAATGCTCGGAAGATTGAGTAAGCCAATCGGGTCCTGACCACCAATGAATATTTGTGGCAAGATCGTTTGGAGAAATGCCGCGCGACGCACAGTCGGCAGGATTGTCTTTAGTCGGTATGTGACGCCATGGAGTTTCCGGTAGTAGAGTGTGAATCGCGGCGACTCTGTTGGCGACAAAGGTCTTCCATGTAGTGGAAGGTCGGCTCAACCAAGCAAGTGTGATTGTGGAATCGGTCCAACAAGAAACCTTTGTCTCCTGAAAGTCGAGGGAGTCGCGAATAAATTGGATGAGTCGTGCGAGTAACTGAGCGGCGGATAACTCAAGTCGCGGAACGCTAATTGTCTTGACGGGAGCGACTTTTGATTTCGCGGCTAGGAGAGTGACCGACACCATCCCGTTCATCTTGACAACGCGAAGGTACACCGCTGCAGCGTATGCCTTGGTTGATGCATCTGAGAATCCGTGCAATTCTCGATGCTGTACTTGCTGACTGAGTTGAGTCCAGCGGGGAATCGTCACCTCTTCCAGTTGCTGGAGATGATTGTGATAATGTTGCCAGGCTTCAAGCAGTTTCGAGGGGACGACGTCGTCCCAATCACAGTTGGCTGTCCAAAGGCGTTGCATCAAAATTTTTGCTCGAATAATCACGGGAGTTGCCCATCCGAGTGGATCGAAAAGCTTAGCGATGGCGGACAGGATTTTTCTTTTGGTATCGCCAGGCGGATCGGAAATTGTAACGGTAAATTGGAAGATGTCGCGATCTGGTTTCCATGTGAGACCGAGAATTTTTAAACTCTCATCTTCTCGTAACTCTCGGCTGTGAGCGAGACCGTGATCGGTAGCTTTGACATCGTCAAGGAGTTCGGACAGGTTGCTTGCCCATTTTCTAAGCACGAATCCACCTCTTTTTAGAAGGGAAGCAACCTGATCGCGCGTTTGATGAGCAATCGCCTTGTCGTCGGCACCGAAAATAAAGTCGTCGACGTACGTTTGACGATCGACTATGGGAGTCGCCAACGGAAATGAAGCACCCTCATCGATTGCGAGTTGGTTCAAAACCTTCAATGCCAAGTATGGAGCTGACGTCATGCCGTACGTTACGGTACAGAGACGATATTCTTCCACTGGAGATGATGGAGACGGCCGCCAGAAGATGCGCTGATAATCACGGTCTCGTGGATCGACGATAATTTGGCGATACATTTTTGCCACGTCGGCGGAATAAACGTATCGAAATGAGCGCCAACGCAAAATGATTGAGGCAAGGTCCCGTTGAAGTTTAGGACCCGGAAGCAAGTGATCGTTTAACGTCGTACCGTTGGAAGTTCGGCTTGATGCGTTAAAAACGATGCGGATGTGCGAAGTTGCGCTGTTAGCGCGGAATACTGCGTGGTGCGGGATGTACACGATTTGCGTGGAGTCGTTCAATTTTTCGGTTTCTGAGACGCGTTGCATGTGTCCCAGATCAGAATATTCCTTTAAAAAGTTGTAATATTCCGTTGATCTCTTTGAATCCGTTTTAAGGCGGGTTTCGGTGCGAAGGTAATTTTGAAGTGCGGTATGTCGAGACTCTCCAATATTGATAGGAGGTCCGGTTTTGAAGGGAAGTCTGACTATATAGCGACCTTCGGAATTGCGAGAATGCGTCGAATGGAAGTGGTCGTCGCAAGCCTTTTCCTCTGGAGTTAAATTTTCGGAAGTGGGAACTTCCTCGATTTCCCAAAATCGTCGAAGAGTTTGGTCGAGATCATCCGTTACAGAAAGGTGATGCACTCCGATCGACGGTTGAGATAGCGGTCGTGGATGCGCGGTAGGCCCGGAATTAATCCATCCTAATACGGTATTCTGTGCTATCGGTTCGTTGGCGGCACCTTTGCGAATACCATCGAGAATTAATGAGCCGAAAAGATCAGCTCCTATTATGACTTCTATTGGATCTGACCCCGCGGGATCGGGATCCGCTAACGTGAGTCCAGTCAAATGCGGCCATTGTGTTTGAATGTCAAGACGATTCGGTGAATATTGAGTAAGAGATCTGAGAATTAACGCGGGTGTTGAATAAACCGGAGCATTCGCGTTACTGGGAGTAATCGTTAGGTTAGCGGCGTGTCGAACGCTAGTCTGTGTCTCGCCGATACCTGTTACTTTGAGGGCGGTTTTCAATTTCGGTAGTCTTAAAGACTGTACTAAATTCTCGGTAATGAAGGATGTCGCGGATCCTTGATCAATGAGCGCTCGTGCCCATTGAGATCGTCCGTGCGTTGAATGTACGCGAACGCGAGCAGTTGCGAGCAGAATTTGATGCGCTGGTCTAGCTTTCGCAACGATATGCGAGGAAACATCATTAGTTGGCGCGATGGGAGTCGTTGCCGCGGGGAGCGGTGACGCGTGAACAGCTGATTTCGGAGCGTCGGAAAAGTGTAAAAGCGTGTGATGCTTTTGATGGCACTCTTTACACGAGCGGGTACTCGTGCACTCTTTTGCTTGATGCTTCGAACTTAAACAATTAAGGCAGCGTTTGCCATTACGAATTATTTCGTACCGCTGTGTCGGAGTCTTTGCGAGAAACGCGGAACATTGATACAATAGATGATTCGAGTCGCACACAGGACACGAAAGTTTGGTAGCGCTCGTGGTATGTGAGGCGGTCGCCCGGTGTTTTGTTTTCGCAGTTGATTTATCGCTCTGTTTATCGGACGTCGGAGCGACGGGTACAAGCGCGTCGAGGGCTCGGATATGAGAATCTAAGAACGCGCTAATTTCGGCAAATGTAGGATACGCAAGAGTTTTACCGAACTTAATTTCCCACGCTTCGCGCGAGGATTTATCGAGTTTTTGCGTTACGAGATAAACGAAGATATCGCTCCAATGGTCGACCGGACGTGACAAATTCTTTAACGCGGCAATAGCGGCAGTTAGTTGGTTCTGTAGAGCTCGAAGTTCGATTGCTGATTTCGCGGTGACATTGGGCAATGTAAATAAGCGATGTATGTATGCGTTGATCAACCGACGCTCGTTTTCGAAATTGGACGAAAGAGTCGTCCACGCTACCTTAAAGTTGTCGGACGTAACAGTTAAATGTTCGATCGCAGTGAGCGCGTCGCCTTTGAGGCACGAAAACAAATGATGCAGTTTTTGCACGTTTGACAGACCTTTTTCATCGATGATCATCGACTTGAAACGGTCGCGGAAGCTCTCCCATTTATCGAACGATCCATCGAAGGTCGGCAGCGAGATCTTCGGTAAATTTGGTGGAGTATGAGACGTACATTCGCGCGAATGACTTACGTTAGCCCAGGTGGAAGGGGAGGACGGGGAAAGGTCTTGAAGAACCTCTGCAAAATAATGCAACGCTGACTCGTAGGCGTCCTTGCACGCGTCAAACTCGTGATTCGTAAAGTATGGTGTGGTGGCCCTCTCCGTTTCATCTGTGACAGCGTGTAATTTGGCATCCAATTTACGGCTTTGATTGAACCTCGTCTCCAAAGTCTCTCGGCGTTTGTCAGTCACGGCGTAGGTCATCTTGGCCTGACCCAACTTTTTAAAGTTGGCTACGGCATTAGTCACGGATTTCATTAGGTCTTCCTGCTCGTACAGCAATTCGTCGAAGGAGTCCATTTTGCACTGAGTGTTGGGTCTTCCTTGTGCACAACTACGCGGAACGATGATTAACTCGCGATCGGATGCGTAGCACTCATTTGTGTTAACAGTCAAAGGGCAAAACCTCAATCCCGATCCGGCTCGAAGGACCAGAATGTTTGGGAATGCGCTAAGTTAATTTAATTTTAATCGGGAATGGAGGGGAGGAAGGGAATTGACTGTTAACCCAACGTTGAGAATCACGTAAACTTTATTGCACTTAACAGCTGAGTTTGAGGGCGGAGCGGTGACGAAAATGAAACGGAACGGTCGGAAATCTTGACGCTTGATCGTTACAGCTGCGCGCGAACCGCGACGGAAATCTTCTTCTGGAACTCGCTGTGAGTTCCTAACACGACGGAAATCTTGTCGCGACGGAGATATCGTGAACTCGCAGCGACCAAGCTCCGCTCGCGAACGCGCGATCCACCGTTCCCTCGATATCTCGTCTGGCTGAGCCTTCGGTCGACGGAGAAGGTCGGATCACGTGGCTGGTACGTGCTGAACACACGGCCGAAAAGAGTCGCGACGTCGACAATAATTCGCGAGACTGCCCGAGAATCTCGTTGGCGCGATCCGGTACAATACTTGCCGTTGATCGGCGGAAAGGAGGTTCTGTCGAAGCTCCACGAAGTTTCTCTTCAACGTGAAGTACGAATCTCACTCACTCGAAGGTATGCGTCGTCACCAAAGGTCGGATTCAGACTTGAGAATGAAGGATCTATCGGTGCGGATCCGCTTGAACGGGGGGTGCGCGACGGATCGAAAATTGATACACAGCGCACTCGAGCAACGAAAGCGGGCCGCGAATGAGACGTGTCGATGTGCGTAACGAGGACCTAAAGCGCGCGGTTTAACGCGTCTCGGAGACGCTCCGGATTCTTGGCATGTTCCGAAACAATCAGAAACTGTGCCATACACAAGTCAAGGACAGGAAGTTGAGATAGACATTCGACGTGCAACCTACATACAAGAGGTATGTTGAAACACATTCTTTACTGTTAATTGTTTTACAGTTTCAAATTTTGATTTACTATGCGAACTTACACCAATATATAAAATTGTCATATTATTACAGTTTAACAACGGGGGGGGGGGGGAACATGAAGCAACAGAAACTGTGCCACACACAAGTCAAGGACAGGAAAGTAATGTACACACATTCAAACGAAGAACTTTATTACCGGACTGTAGAACACAAGGTGATCTGACACCAAGAGCCAATAGATTATATAAAATTGCAAAAAAAGTCTGGAAAGAAAAAGATACACGGATGTCCAAAATGCCAAATTGTGGAAAATTTTTAAAAATCAATATCTTCAGAGTTCAACTTTTATTCAACAATACGAAGGACTGTGTACGACACAAAGGATATTTATTGAGATGCAGTTACGGATTGTCAATCAGCCATGCAATGTGAGTTAAAATATACTAGTTAATAATGGTAAGGCGAGCTCGTTTCTTGTGAAAACAAATAGACAAAACAACAGGCCAATATTATTACGAGCAATAAAAGGTGACAGTCAAAATGTTTTTTAAAAATATTAAATGTATATTTAAAGCGGACGTTTCGGCTTCACAGAGCATTCATCAGCGCAAAATTAGTCAAATCGATTCCGCTAATTACATTAAAACCATGGTCAAAGAATTAAAATTAAAAGTTGATAGATTAAAAGGTCGGAAGGGTCTAACTTAAACTAAAGATACATAAAATCGCATACGCTCCTTTGTTGAGGTCATAATGTGCTATGGTCCGTAGTTATAAAATTAAATGTAAGTGAGTGAGTTCCCTCATTACTTTCCCTATGTCTAGTTTACAGACCAGAATAAGAAGATCTTACACGATTTTTCTGATCTAGGTGGTCTGTTGTAATCAGATACAAGTCCTTGATTAAAAAATAGTTAGTTTAAAATCAAGTGTATTGAGATTACTTACAGTCGTTCAGTTATTTGCCGAATTAAATTTAATTTGAGAGCAGAGAGGAAACAGTCCGTCTTATCTATCTGACAGGTTGAGACTTAGTCGGTAATAAGAAAATTTTCAATTCTGTTACAGGCTATTGCATCTGATGAAGAAATTGATCCTGAAAAATTTAATGTTTTTGCGAAGGATTTAGCAAAACTAGTTTTCGAAAAATATGGTTGGTATTACATGCCAGCAAGTGTACACAAAATTTTACTCCATGGTTCCAATATTATAAAAAATGTTCTTTTTCCTATAGGACAACTATCTGAAGAAGTTGTAGAAGCAAGACATAAGAATTTCGACGATTTCGACTAAATAATTCAAGGAAAAAGAGTAGAAGATGTACAAATGAAGATATTATGTTTTCCCTAATGATTTCGTCCGATCCATACATATCGAGTCTAATTGTAAGACATTCAAGTCGAAGTAAGCCGAAAAAAACAATGTTTCCGGAGATTCTTGAATTGTTCAGAGAACGAACAAATGAAGAGAAAAATTATAAAACTCTGGATAACATCAGTATAAATACGGATGATGAACAACCAGACGAGTCTTTCTGAAATTTTCAGATGTTAGGTTTCCACCCTGGTTTTTACATTTTATACTAGAATTCATCGTAGGGTTAGGCGAGGGCACCCCCTTTAAAAAAACTTGTCCAGAATTGATTTCTTCAAATCTAAATTTAAATGTTTATTTAATTTAATTTATGTTTCTTTTCAAGTTTATCATAGGGGTAGGCGAGGGCACCGCCTTTAAAAAAACTTGCTCAGAATTGATTTCTTCAAATCTAAATTTAAATAACATCAATGATTTTTATTGACCGTATCTGGCAATTAAAATTCTTATTGCGAAAAATATTATCCCAGCCAGGATTCGAACCTGGGACCTCCCTCAATCCGTGACGGGCGTCTTAGCCAGCCAGCTCGACCACTGGGGCTGTGATAATACTATTCGCAATAACATGTATATTACTTAAGATGTTGTTTACGCGTCTATTTCGACTTTTCAGAACAGTGCGTCGATAAGGGTTGTCGACCGACACCGAACTGTCGATACGCGATTTTTAATTTTCATGTCCCCTCCCTCCCCCCGATCCCATTCCTCCTATTACGGAGGAACACCATGTTTGAAGTCAATGGTGTATAATAAACTAGTAAGAATACTCTTAAAAGTCGCCAGCAGTAATTAACAACATCACTTATTTTCATTGACCGTATCTGGCAATTAATTAAAATTAAAATTGCGAATAGTATTATCACAGCCCCAGTGGTCGAACTGGCTAAGACCCCCGTCACGGATTGAGGGAGGTCCCAGGTTCGAATCCTGGCTGGGGTAATATTTTTCGCAATAAGAATTTTAATTGCCAGATACGGTCAATAAAAATCATTGATGTTGTTAATTATATTATATAATAAAAATAAAAACTGCTGGCGACTTTTAAGAGTATTCTTACTACTAAATTTAAATGTTTATTTTATTTAATTTATGTTTTTTTCAAGTTTATCATAGGGGTAGGCGAGGGCACCCCCTTTAAAGAAACTTGCCCAAGGTTGGTTGATTCCCCACCTTCACGCGGTACCAACTGTTATCACTGAGAGGGAATAAAATTTCGAAAAAAGTATTTTAATTATTTTAATTCTTTTATTGTGAAAAATAGAGTTTGGGGATCAAAATTTTCGGAAAATATCGTTCAATGTTTCCAATATTGTTTATTCACACTCAATTATGTCTTAAAATGCATGGAAGATATAAATATCGGGCTGTTATCATGAGAAAAATGTCATGTCCACTAATTCAGACGTTTCGATCTGCTGTGCGTCAGCGGCTACGATGATTCCTCTTGATGGGTCGAAAAGCGTGATGGCCAGGTCCGACGCGAGTGCATCCTTCAGTCCGTTGAAGGCCTCTTCGTGCGGTGTCCATTTGAATCAGACATCATTTTAGAGGAGCTCATCCAGTGGTTCGCGCAAGTTCTTGAGTTTTGGGATAAACTTGCCATATCAGTTGACGGCTCCGAGGAAGGCGCGTAGCGTCGAGACGTCCGTTGGTGCGGCGATCGGATCGCCTGTGTCTTGGCTGGGTCTGGCCGCAGTTCGCCGGCATCCAACACCTGATCCAGGTATGTGATCGAGGCTGTCCAAATGAACACTTCCCGAACTTCAGGTGGAACCCGGACTCTTGAATAGCGCCCAAGGTCTGAAACAATCTCTGGCGATTCTGTTCCTCGTCCCTGCCGGCTACAATAATGTCGTCGAGGTATGCGGCATGATGTTCATTGGAACTGTTCCAGGCGTTGGAACATGCCCGGCGCTGTTTTGATACCTGGTTGCGCACGATTAACGCGGAACAGCCCACAGTGCGTATTGATCGTCATCAGTTCCTTGGCTTGCTCATCGGCTTCCACTTGTAAGAAGACGTCTGATAGGTCAATGACCGAAAAGATTTTGTTTCCTCCGATTTTCGCTAAGATCGCGTCGGGTGTCGGTAGGGGATATTGGTTTGGCTCAAGCGCGTGGTTGAGGCCAGTTGAGTAGTCAGCTGTTACTTGGATGCGGCCGTCCTTCTTTTTTAACCGTGACTACTGGTGCTGCGTAGTCCGAATAACTGACCCACGAGATGACTCCAAGTTGCTGCAGTCTGAACAGCTCCTCCTCCACTGCCTTAGCTGCGGCGAATGAGACTTGGTGTGCACGTCGGAAGATTGGCTTCGTGCCTGGCTTAAGCGTCAACATTATTGTCTTGGTGCACGTGCCCAAGGCGGAAGAGAAAAGAGACGAGAAGTTAGCCTTGACGTCTTCCTCCAGCATCCGTTGGCTGCCGCTTTCAGGTCGGATGTTGTTGCAGACAGTTGCGATCGGGATGTTCCACAAGTTCAGCAGCGTCATCCAGGTGTTGCCCAACACGTTGAGTGACGCTGGCGATACGTAGACCGGGCCATCTGCTTCCCGGTGGAACAGTTTGTGGTTGCTGTGAAGAACCCGACTGTGTCGACCGGGTCTCCCGACGCGCTGACTGCTCCCTTGTCGTTCCGCGACAGGGTCGGTGAGCCTAGCAGCCTCCAGTTCGCTCTGGAGATGATCGTCCAGCATGACCCACTATCGTGCTGGAGCTCAAGTTTCCTGCTGTTTATGCTAGCGGTAACGAATTTGGTGGAGGTTGCCTCCTCCGCCGTGATTGCGAGGCTTTTGCGGCGGCTGCAGTTGCGCCTGGAGCTTTTACTTGCACGGAGGTACCCAGACAGCACATGATATTATACAAATATTCTATACTCATACTATGAATGTACGTACTGTACATAATATACTGAGAATATCTCTATAATATCTTCTCTAGTATATCCGTTTTCGTATATTTCTAGGATGTTTTCAGAACATCTTTTACAGTATATTATTTCTCGTATATATATTGTATATTATCAGAATATATTGTTACGTATATTCTAAAACTATACTGTAAAACGTACTATATTTACCATACTGAGACCATCCCTATAACATTTTTAGTAGTATATTATTTTTCGCATATTCTCGTATATTTTCAGAACATGTAGTGTTTGGGAAATTTCCTCACATTCGAATCTCGTCATGAGATCGAATGATCGCGAAATCTCCGTGAGCGCTGCGAGTGGATCGGGGGGTGAGAAAGGACGTGCAACGTCGCGAGAATGACTACGATTCCGTTTCTTAAAATGAGTTGAATGTTTAATCGTATGTACACTATATACAGTTGAGAGTTACTTAGGCGTATGATTTGAGGTGAGCGAGTCCGTCGAGCTCTCTTGTTCGCACAAGACCGTCGGGGATGTGCCGCCCATTGAGCCGGTGGCCGGCTACAAGCGAGCGTGCACGTACAAAGTGAGAGGCCTTTGCGCAGAACACCGATGCACTCGATTTGTGCACTTAACTTATGAGTCTGTCCCTGGGTGAGCACTAATTGTCAATGTGAGCTAACAAGCACTGAGATAGAACTTGTTCCCGTGAGCGCGAGCACGATACTTTCGTCTGCCGATGCGAACTTTGCCACAACTTACGACGACTGCTTTTACACGACTGGTGCTCTCTGAGCTTGCGCGCAAGCCCGGGAGCCAATTCCACGTGCCTGTCACGCGCTTGTTACACGGTCGCGCGGTCGCGCACGCGGTCCCACCGGGCCTTACGAATAACCGTGAGATGGCGAGGGCAGTACAAATGAGATGACTGGAGAAATCTCAAACATATAGTACTAGTAACCACTCACTGCCGCGACGTGGCGACCGCGCGTTAGCCTTTCTCGTAAGTAAAAATCATTCTGTATTAGTATAAGAGGCGAGCCGATATGATATGACAGTTGGTTTTCTGGATCATGGATAAACTTCAATGACCTGAATATACTTTTGATGATTACATAATTTAACGCACTTTAAAAATTAGGTTAAAAAATTAAGTATTTTTAATAGGAAGCCTACTGATGCCCCACTATCCTTTTATTAGAAATTATAAGGCGTAACAAGGGGCAAGTCATGAGGTCTTGATAAGGAAAACTTGACCAGGCAATTAATTATGTGATCAAAATATTGTATTACTATACTTATGATAAGTAATCTAAGTCCTCCTTGCGGGCATCCTCGAACGCCTCTCGCTGCACTTTCATTTCGGCGAGGATCTCCCGGACGTCCGACACTGTTCTTTCCAGGTTAGTTTGCTTACGCGGCGGTTGTCTACACGCGGTATGTACTCTACCTTCCTTGCCTTTTGTGCTCTATCCCATCCTCGTCGCCACTGTGATGATCTTACTGGTGGGTCTTAGGAAATGAGGCACGCTGCAGATATCTTACGACTATATATATTTTGTTTCTCTGAGTAGAACGGAAACGGTTCACTCCCAAAAACTCTTTCCCTCTGTCTGCGCCGCGCGCTCCTGGCGGTGGTGCTGTGCTTTTGTTATCACATAATTGAATGTAGAATGTTAATTTTTCTATAGATTTACACATTTTTCATGTTTTTATTAATATGCATCAAATATTGAAATGTAAAACAATACGCTCAAAACTTTTACTATATAAAATCGTATTCTATAATCATTGGACATAATATTTTAATAGTTTTTTATAGTAACAATTTTTATAGTTGGTGCAATTTTTTTATATCATTCCTTTTGTAGAGAAGATAGGTTTGAGAAATTTTTAAACAAAAATTTTGCTCATTATATCATTAGGACCAAAAGAAAAAACAATTGGATAGGATAGTATACCGTAGTTATTAAACCGTATTATAAATCGGCGTGTAAACGTAGTCAATGAAATATCTGGTCAAGTTTCTCTATCGCTTTAATCACCAACTCTTGTGGTTAGTGAAAAGAGATATTACATTCCATTTGATAAAATAATATGTAAATGAAGTGGCGATCGTGGCGCAGAGGATTGTGCGCTGGTCTGGTAATCCGAAGACCTGGGTTCAAAACCAAACATTCTTGGTTTTTCGTTCGATCGCCACATAGAGAAGTGGATATAGAGAGAAAAGTGTTATAAGAGGTTTGGGCACGTTCCTTCAAAAACGGCTTGTAACCCTAAGGGGAATCAATAAAATGTATCTACATCTAATATGTAAATGATATATAAAAACGCATGTAATATTCTATCTACATTCTGTTCGAACGTATTCGTTTTCTTATTTCATATTTATTTATATCGGTCCATGATTTAACTCTTCATTATTGTTTAATTTTTAACTTGTGTAAAACAGTTGGGACACTAGTATTCTTGTGCTTTTCGCATATGCTCGAAAAAAGGCAAATTTAATTAAAACCACAAAAATATTTGTCACAAAAATATTTTTCATGGTAAATATTTACTGTTGATCAACCCCCACCAATCGACGTCTGGTTGACCTTAATGTTGACCTTGACCTTCTTAGAGGTCAATGCCATTGTTCTTTCCCGTCGCTCATTGTTTATTAAAAAGTTATCAACAAAAGAAGTCATATGAATAGAATATAGATATCTTTGACACCGTATAAGTAAACCTCATTTCAAACCCTATGCGAAACCGTACAACGCATGGATCTAATTTCCCCAGAAAGCAGGGGCAAATATCTATCTTTTTCATAACTATACGTTATAATTATTTTATTATAACTGCAATTTATTAATTTAATAATTAAAAACTGAAGTCAACTTACCGTTACAGAAATTCAACACTAGAGCATGTAAGGGTCTGTTTGAATTTCATGGATTTTTAATTGAACATTGTGTTGCTACTACCGGACACTGTTATCGATTAAGATGCTTCCCAAATAGTGAAACTGAATTATACAAAATTCTGAATATATCATCTACAAATCTGAATACATCATCTACTTTCTTTGAAGTCTATTTTGAAATCGGTTTGGGATCCGTTCGAGTATAGCCCCCACATGCCTTGTCAAAGGTTAACTTGACATTAACTATTTAATGTTAAGCGTTTAGAAACATATTTTACCATAACTTTTTGGTTTGTCTGGATGAGAAAAACATGGCTACATATAGCCAACCCAACTTTTTTTTAAACACTCTGTATATAATTAACAGATATAAGTCTCTTGAATCAATCATCGTCGATACTTACGCTTTTCTGAAAATTTTCGTACTACTATCTATAACATTCTGTCCCATATAATTACAAATAAACATATAGTAAAAATGACCAATTATAAATATTGTGAACGGTACAACATCTTTCTTTTGATCTGGTAGAGTGGCAACTTGAAAAAGCTGTAACAAATCAAAAGAACTTTATACATATATATACATACATATATACATCCTGTATGATGATAATTCGGGTTTGATTCGGGATTGAAAGAAATAGATTTAAAGTATTGTTATTAACACACATGTACATATACATATACATATACATATACATATACATATTAATATACAATATGACTAATAATGCACATATCAATTAATGTAATTTTTACTCACACGGAATAAGTTTATACTCAAAGAAGCTACCCCCAAAATAACGAGAATAAAGTAGGACAACGAAAATGTACAAGTGAAATATTCGAAAAACCTTTAAAAGAATAAATTTTATCATGTTATTATAATAATAGTTTTAATAGATATTTGTGAAACTTTATATTGCAATACAATTTTATAATCGTGATAAATTAATTAAAATTATGAAGATAAATAAAAATATTTAAAACAATAAAAATCATAACATATTTATAAATTTATGAATACAGAATAAAAAATTTATACAAAAATTTTTCTGATTAATTAATAAAATGTTTATTTGATAAAAATAAGTGAAATCTAATTAAAGGCTTGTTCAGGATAATTAAAAGAGAGAAAATTATGAAGAAATTAAACAATTCTAATATTGTTAAGAGAAGTAATAGATTACAAACTCGAAAGTTCTTCGATGAATTTCTATAGCATTAATTAATTTAATACGAATTGTACTTTCCTTATTTGATGTTAATAATATGCTCTTATCCAATGCACACGTTATTCGATAACTATAATAAAAGCTAAGTTAGTTAATAATCATACATAGTTATACATATATGTAGTGTTTAAAAAGTCTCCGGCTGACAAAATGTCTGAAAAATGAGAGACATTTTAAAGAAAAATATTAAATACAAAAGTGATAGAATATCAAGCAATGTATTAAATGGGATATTAGATCCTGGATCGTCTCTTCAAAGATTAAAAAAGGTCACTATCAGTATTTTAAATAGATACCTTTATTTAGCAGATTGCAACTAACATGTGTCCATTTCTTACTATGTCCGTTTGGGACTGTGTCTAATTCATTCAAGTTGCCGTTTATGATTTATTCTGTGTGCAACAGAATATACTCTCTTTATTGAGATTTAAAATGTTTGCAATGCAGTAGCGTTAAAAGTTTAAAACCAGTTTAAAGTTAGAAATTACATATTGAATGCATGTGCTCGATTACTGGGGAAATGCACTGCGGATCACTCGGGCTATACCATGTGAAAAGTGTACTGTTGTTGTTCCAACATGTAGAATGAGAGGAATTTCATCTGAACCATCCTGGCTGAGGTAATATTTTTCGCAATAAGAATTTTAATTCATTAGGGGGAAGGGTAAATTTATAATGCTAAGTGTAGCATTAAAATTAAATTTAAAAAATTTACAAAAATCGTTCAGCAATTTTTAGAACACGTGAATTTACTGACGATAATAATCTTACCTAGGGGAAATCTATGTTATATAATATGTCCGGAAAATAACGGCGCGCAGTATAGGATGGGAAAAGACGGTATATGGATTCATTTAGTAATTTAATGGCCACCACCTATGCCAGGTCCTAAATGGCGTCTTTCCTAAAGTTTCAATTTGATTTATATCTGAAAAGGACCGAGTTAAATAGATAGATAAATATGCTTTATTAACTCCTTTCGGATTACATACGGCGCTTTTTTTAGGGAGCGTTCCCGAACCCTTTCCAAGATCTATTCCCCTCCGCGACCAGGCCTTATGCGAACCTTACAAACTCTTACCCTCCTTCCTTCGTCCCTCCCACTCTTCCCCCTCCTCTTCCATTTCTCCTTTCTCTCCTTCCTCCACTCCCCGCTTCCCGCATCCGTCTTCTCTCCTTCCTTTCGGTATCCTTTCTTTCCTTTTTCCTCCTGTCAGCCATCTCTTACTCCTCCCTCCTTCCTACAATCAATTTAAATATTCGACCACTATTCATTAGATTCTCCTCCACTCCTCCCCTTCTCCTTCTCTCCTCCTACCCATCTCCATTCCTTTCCGTCCACCGACATCCTTTTGTTATCTACCCTCACCTCTCTTCCCTTCTCCCTCTCAATTCTCGCCCTCTCTATCATCCTCCACCTCGCCTTCCTCTCATCCATACTTAAGTCTTCATCTATTTTTATTCCCCATTTTACCCTTATCCCTTCCTTCCCATTTAACACCCTTACCTCCTTGTCCCTTTCCTCCTTCATTTCTATCGCTACCATTCTTCCCCCTCTCCCTGTCTTTCTATAACCTTCTCTATTTCTGGCTGTCTCCCTAACCTATCTCTTATCGCCCTTCTTATCTTCCAAACTCTTTCCTCCCTATCTTTTCCTTCTACCCCTCTCCATATCAATCTTCTTCTTCTTCTTTCCTCCCTTCCTCTCTCCCCTTTTTCTGCTTCCCTCTCTGATTCCCCTTCCTCCTCCTTCCACCAGTTCTTCTCCTCTGAGTCATCACTCTCCTTCCCATTCTCGTCCTTCTCTCTGCCTTTCCCTTCCATCTTAGCCCTTCCTGCTTCCCTTTCCCCTCCCTTCTCCTTCCTCTGTCCTCTCTCCCCCCTTTCCCTGCTTCTCTCCCATCTCCTTTCCCTCCCATCTCCTCGCTCTCCTCCATCCTCCTCTTCTTTGCTTCTCTCCCTCTCCTCCATCTCTCCTCTAACTCCTGCCTCCCTCTTCTCTCTGCCTTCTCTTCGCTTTTATCTTTCTTTCTCCCCATCTCGCTCTCCGACGTATCTCTCTTCTTCCCAACTCCTCCATCCCATCTCTCTCTCCGCGTCCACCTCCTCTCCCTCCATCCTCCTCACCTCCTATCTCTCCCCCCTCGTCCGCACCTCTCTTCCTGCTCTTCTTCTCCTCTCCTCCTCCTCTCTCATCCTCGTCTACTCTCTCTCCCGCTCTCTCCCTCCTTCCTCTCTCTTCCTCTCTCTCCTCTCCTCTTCTTCTCCCGCTTCTTCGCCCTCTCTCTCTCTCTCTCTTTTCTATGGAATAACAGTTCTGTCAATGTACTATCCGCTATCCCTTTATCTATTGACACGTGCATGCATGCATTACACTACTCGCATGTGCTCCTAGCCTCAAAGCTTCCTCCTATATCATTCCTTCCCCGCGACTCCTTCACTATACCCCCTTCCTCCTCTCTCTCTCTCTCTCTCTCTCTTTCTCTCCTTCCTCTCCTACCTCCTTACTTCTGCTTTCTCCTCTCCTCCGATTCCTCTTCTTCCGCTTTTTCGCTTCCCACCTTTCTGTCTCTCGAAACTTCCACTTACTTGCTCGTCTTAACCATCACTCTCCTCCATCGATCTCTCGACTCGCCAACTTCACCACCTCCACGGCTTCCATCGATCCCTCGACTTCCTCCGCCAATCCCTTCGCTTCCGTCCAATCGATCTCTCGTCTCGCCGTCGTCGCTCCCCTCCTCTGCCTCCTTCGATCTCTCGATCCTCCCGTCCAATCCTCTTCCTTCTTCATATCGATTCTCTCTCATCCCCTCCATCTCAACTCTCCTTGCTCTATACTGCCCATTCACGCCTTTTCACCTTTCCTTCCACTCTCATTTCTCCTTCACTTTTCGTTATTTCTTCACGCCTCCCCGAGTAGAAAATGGTTAAGGTTTGCCTGAATTTTGTTCCGGGTGCTATCAGGTAATGTCACGGCATGCCTTATTCTGGAAAGCCTGATCCGGATCTGTTAGTGCTTGGATCAGGGTTGCCGTATTGTGGCATTCTCTCCCAAAAAACATGTTGCGCGCGAACATCTGGCATTACGACGACGCACTTGGATAGAATTTTGCTTGCGCTGTTGAGCCATTTTTGTACGCGAGTCGATAGATATTTACGCGCAAAATTATACGTTGATACACGAGCTAGCCACTTGCGTGCAAAAGCACAGACTGAACATATCTTACGGACAAAACTCGGGCAAATCGCATACAAATTTGCATGCGTAAGACAAGCAAAATTTGCGCGCAAGAATTGTTATCTGGGCTGTCAGCGCCATAATGAGGACTGCTCTATTAGCGCCTGATCGAGGAAATCTTTATGCCACCCTGATCAGGTTTTGTCTAAAATTTTCTATCGAACGTGCTCACGCATCATTTTGAAGTTGCATGCAGATGGCGTGCTGCACGAGAGAAGAGAGAGAAAGTAGATTAAGATATTCGAAGTGTGCGAGCGAGAAGCGTTGTGCGAGCAGTGAGATATTTTGCGTATAGCAAGACGTTGTGCGCAATAGCGAGGATTGTAAGTTCGGAAAGGACTTGTACATGTGCAGCAGGAGGTGTTGTACGGCGGCGTGCAAGGAGGTCGAAGCGTGAGAAGTCTCGACATGGTGAGCGTGCGTCGCGAACTCTGAAAGGACTGTAAGCGATAGCTAACCTATTAAACGTTTTTTTTTTCCTTACGAGTACATGCGTTTGTTCGATCGAACCCTCCTCGATACGTTCTATTAAATAAAAAGGGATTCTACAGAACTGACCAAACAGGTAAACTGAATCCTACAGCCCAAATAGCACAAAAACATTCCATTAACATTCTAGGAATATACGCCAAGAACATTCGAAGATTCCAGGAATCTTCTAATAGTCGTTTTATACGTTCGAGGCATATTTATAGAATGTACCAACGGAGCACTTCAAAAGTTCTAGAAACATCTCTAGAATGTTCATCTGAATGTGCTGCGAATGTACACGAATGTACTGCAAATATTCTAGTAATGTGCTGTAGATATTTCTATGAATGTTCCTGGAATATACAGCAAATATTCCAGTAATGTGCTGTAGATATTTCACCCAAAGAAAAGTATTCTATTTTTTAGTGGTTCCCTTTTGATTTTAGCCGGCACAAATTGGCAACCGGCACTACGCGACACGCGCGCGGGCGCGTGAGCGCCAGCTTCTGAGTATTCACCGACCGCCGCTAGGCCGCGCATGGTGAGTCACCATTGGTGACGGCCAAAAACTCGGAATCAAAATTCAGTCTCGCGGGCCTCGTTTTATACCCTACGAGACTGAATTTTGCTTCCGAGTTTTTGGCCGCCACCATGCGCGGCCTAGCGGCGGTCGGTGAACTACTCAGAATATTCCTAGAACATAATGGAACATACTGCGTATGTTCGTATAGAAGTTCGTGAATATACCACGTACATTCTATGCGAATATTCATAGCACATTTACAACATTCCATAAACATTCGTAGCACATACGCTGCTAATATTCCACGTATATTCAGTAAGAATATCCGTAGAAAGTTCCATGTGTACATTCCACGTGCATTCTGTAAGAATATTCATAGAACATTCAGAATATGCCATAGACACTCAGGGAACATTTAATGCGAATATTCCCTGGGCATTCTGTGTGAATGTTCATAGAATATGAAGAACATTCTAGAAACATTCACGGCACATCCATGCGAATATTCCTGAGAGAGAACATTCGAATCATATACAAACATTCATGGAACATTCGGTGCTATCTGGGAGTATACTATAAATTGCAACTTCAAAATAATAATTTAATAAATTTTATTTAAAATAATAATAATTATTTAAAATAATAATAATTAATTTAAATAATTAATTTAAATAATTATTATTATTTTAAATTATTATTATTATTTTAAATAATTATTATTATTTTAAATTATTATTATTATTTTAAATAAAATTATTCAAAATAATAATAATTATTTAAATTAATTATTTAAATACTACAATTTTAACATAGGTCCTTTAAGATATAAAATCAATTAGAAATTAAAGAAGCCGTTTAGGACCGGGCATAGGTGTAAGTAGCCAGTTAAATTAAATTATTTAAGTGAATTCATATACCGTATTCTTTTCCAACTTATTCTGTGCGCCAGTTACATACTAGTCTCAAAACACAGGTTAATCCCCGTAAGTGGAGGTGTTATCGTCAGTGAATTCACGTTTATAAATTATTTTAATAATGCTACACAGTAACATCTAATATGATAACCCCCTTCCCCCCTTAATAAAAATCTAAAAAGATTTTTTTTAAAGAATTTAACTGGCTACTTACACCTATGCCCGGTCCTAAACGGCCTCTTTAAATTCTAATTAATTATTTAAATTAATTATTATTATTTTAAATAAAAATAATGAATCGTATGGAAAAAATTAGAAAATTAACACGAATACATATTAAGGAGGTTGCTCAGTGTCCTTGCGGGGCAGGCGGTAAGGGGGAAACGCCTATGCTTATACACGGGCACCTCTAACGGCTGCCAACTTCGAAATATCAAATTTTTTGTTGCGCAAGATAAACAAATTTTGGATAAAAGTATGTGGAATCGTTATAATTACTTGTTTAAATATGTTACGAATCGATCTTTGTTTATTTGTATCTCGAAAATATTATATACAGAGTTGAGATGTGGCAAACGCGCAACGTAATTTTTAGTTGATGGTAGCCCTACGTGCCGCACGGTCGCCGGCTTCGGCGCACTTCGCCGCATGCAAAGCAAAGCTGCGAAGAAGCCACGAATTTAGAACGATCTTTAACATTACAAAATAGAGAGTCATTGGAAAATCTTTTGTAAATTGACGTTAGAATTGTTACGAACTTTTATACGTATTCGAATATTTATTCGTAACAATTCTAATATTTTGTGGAGAAAATTAAAGAAAACAAATGTTCTAACACAGAACATTTGTTTTATTTAACTTCTGTTACCACGAACAACTTAAATCGAATAACCATCGAACTATCGAATAATTATTGTAAATAATAATGAAAGCTTCAATGATCACGTATATTAACAACGAACAATTAATTATTTCAATAATAAATTCACGTGTTTTCATGTGTGGTATTACTTTTTGCTTTAAAATTTGAATAAAAATTACACAAAATTATATAAGAATTTTTTGCCGACTATATAAGGCTATTCTACAATCGTACGCAAACAATAAAAAATATATATATTTCTACAATAAAATTTATTACTCGCCGAAAATGTTAATACTAATAATTAAATACGATATCATGAATAAACTTTACACGTGTGCATAGTAGAAAGTTGGCCATTTATTTTAATCCATTGAGTAATCCATTCCTAATCCATCCATAATCCATCCATAATCCATCCATAATCCATATCCGTTTTTTTTATATTTATATAGGCCTAACCCAATTGGCATAGGAGTGTCACAGAATATTCCTTGAGAATGTCGCTGGTGTGACAGTGGAGATGTACAAAACAAACGTTTATGGAGTATTCCATAGACATTTCTTTCGGAATGTATTTTATTAAATTATTCCCGGAGTGTTCTTTAGATATTTCTAAAGAAATGTTCCATGAACATGCCAGCGAAAATGTTCACTGAATGTTATTTGTAAAAGGCTCATAGAATATACATATAAGAGTGTATCAGAAACGTTAATGGAATATTACACTTGACATGGAATTATTCAATGCTAAGTGCGATATTCCATTAATGTTTCTGATACATTCTTATATGTATATTCTACGTTTTTACCTTTTACAAATAACATTCGGTGAACATTCTCGCTGGCATATTCATGGAATATTTTTTCAAGAATATCTAAGGAACGTTCTGAGAATAATTTAATAAAATACATTTGAAAGGAATATTTATGAAACACTCTGTAACGAAGCGCAACTCTTCCCCGGTACTGAATTCCGGACAGGACTCCGGCGGGTATCACTTATTACGCGAATAAATGCGGAACTTAGTCGGACGCGCGGTTCCGACTAACGGTTGGAAGAGTTGGCTTTTTTTCGGTCGGTTTTGACGTGCTGTGTGTAAGGTTTAATTAAATCCCCCGTTCCTCCTATGTGCCGAATATGCTCAGCTCCAGGGCCGTCTGCAGGAAAGGAGGACAAGATCTTACTTCGCTTAGTGAGGTAATCGCTTGGAAGGATCGGGAATAAATCGTACAAGTATTTAATTTGGTAGAAAACGATAGGAGCGTGGTTTATTCATGGATAGGATACATGAGATCGAGGAAATTACAATAGGTCCGCCCTGTGATCGAAATATAAAAGGAAAGGAATGGATTAGTAGGTACAATAAGTCCGCCCTGTGATAAAATACAAAGAAAAACAGGATATGTTTAGACGGATTATATTACGGCACAGGAGTACGCGGCCGGATCGGAATACGGAGTACAAAAGATAATGTGGCCGGTCGGATTAATCAGGAGTAACAAATCGCCGTTCGGATTTAAGAATACCGGAATCCGATTAGAATTATCCGGAGTTGTAATAAAGGTGTACAGGAAATACACAACAATCTGGATTTTACAATACGGCACGGAAAGGACGTTATTAGATCGGAATACGGAAAATAATGCGCAACTGGAAACGGATAATATATATATGATTATTAATGCTACGGATAAAATACGGTATATAACGGATACGGAAAGTTTACTGGCGGCAAACAGGAAGGATGTCTGTATGGAATCCTCTGGTCGGTAAAAGGAGAACAGTGACGGAATTAATTCTACGGAAGCCTACGCGCAAATTAGAATTAATTCCCACCCGAATATTGCCCCCCTGAGTTCTACACCGGTCAAGGATCAGGAAAAGGATCAGGTCAGGACAGGAACACGCCCGAGCAGCGCCTCGTTATGCGTGTGGGTCAGTAGTGATTGTACACCGAGGAGCACCCCGTTAGGTGTATGCTACTGCGGAATCACTCCCTCCCCGCGAACCACGGCGGTACCCGCTGTCACGGGGGAAACGGAGTCAGGACGGATACAGGAGACCGGTACGGGAAATATTTGTAGCACGTGTACGCCGAGGAGCACCCCGTTAGGCGTACGCTACTGCGGGACGGGGCCCACGACGGAGTAGAGCCTCCGCTGTGTGCTCCGGACTGGTATATAGCCGAAGACAGGAGCACCCATTCAACTCCGGCTTATACCTGCAGCGGAGGTACCCGCTGCCCGGTGTTGTCGCTCGGAGCTCCGAGCGTCGACCGAGCTCAAGCGCCTGCTCCGGAGGGGCTTTTATACCCCCCGGATGTAGGCGCGCGGGGAGAGGCGGCGGCGGCAACCGCGCCGTTTATCGATTTTCCACCCGCGGCTCTATTTCCTTCTCTCTCGCGCGTGGTATGCAGTTTTTTCTGCTTCCGGCCGCGCCTCCCCGGTCGCCTCCGTTACAACTCCATAAACGTTTGTTTCGTATATCTCCACTGTCACATCAGTAACATTCTCAAGGAATATTCTACAGTACAATACAGCAGAAGTTTGTATGCTTATATAGTTTATATGTAACACAAAAAGATACAATTAAAAAGTTTTTATACTAGTAAGTATTAGTAAAAGTACTATACATATACAGGGTGTCTGATGCAAAAGTAGCAACTTTGAAAATAGTGGTAAATTGGGTTAAACTAAGGAGAAATATCATGTTCTGCGGTACAAAGTAACATTAGTTATTGAGTAGTAAATTTACACGTTTGAGCGAATGAGGATGCAGGAGACGGTAGGCCGGACTCGGAAGGCATTTAAAAAAATCGATCGATGAGCGGGAGGTGGAGCGACGCGCGAGATACTATGTTTATGTTTCGGGTCGCTCGTCGCTCGCGCTCGCTGCCGCGCTCGCCGCCCGCGCCGCGCTCCCCGCCGCGCCTAAGTTTTTTCCCACCATGGTGTATCTCGCGTGTCGCTCCAC